ATTGCTTGCGGTTCGGATAATTCGCCAATACTGCCGGATTATATAACTGTCTTGTTAAAATATATGCAAGCTCAATAATTTTGAGCAGTTTCAGGATTTTAAACTGTTACTTATATTTTATTTTGTATCATTTGTCAACTGTTTTTGACAACTTTTAAACAAAATATTTAAATGGGGAATCATGATTATTTTAATAATTTCGAAATTAAGCAATAACTTTGAAGTCTGAAATAAAAACAAAAAAATATATATATTAATAACGGCTAAAATGCCCAGTAGTTAACATATATTTTCAACTTTGAACATTCGGGGAACTGACTACTGTAAAATACTTAATTTTTACTAGAATAGAGTTTATTTTCACTCACTTTTGAAGAGTTGAACATAAAATATAGGAAAAATGTATATTTGCTTGATTTTATTTTTAAAAGCGAAAATAAATTCCAATCGAAAATAAACTTGAAGTATTTTACAGTATAGCATTTTTTCTGTTTAGATAGTAATTTATTCAGATATAGTAGGACACACACACACACAACACAATGAAATAACAGCAATTTAACTACACTTCTTAGTTTTACGTATACGGTAGTATTCTGATACTTTTTGTTACTTATATCAATTAAAACACTTAAAATCGTTCCATGTTCGAATTTCGTGAAACTCAACAAAGCATTTTAAAGGGCGACAGTCGTCGTGCCGCGTTCTGTTCGATATGGGACTCATAGCGACGTATACAACGCGTGTAAAATACATTGTTTATTTACATTAAATTCAAACACGCGCTGCGCGACGACCACCGCGCTTTAAGCGAGCTTCAATAACAGACATATCAGACAAAATTTAAGCAAAGGCTAATTTTGAATATGTATATAGTCTTGAGATTACTTGTGTGTATAATTTTAAAATTATTTTTTGGGACATATACACTGATGGTGGCAATAAAACACCGATGCCAAGAGTCAATGTTCGTTGGTGGTAGTTATTACATATTTTCAACGTTGAGGGCGAACTGACTAGCAACCTTTCTTGGAGAAACGAAACAACAAACTAGCACACGCTCGGACCTTGGCAACAAAAACAACAACTTAGTAATCCGTATGGGTTTCGAGGAGGAAACCTGGATATTAGCCTGATAATACAGCTCGATGTGCGACTTTTATTGAAATAGATCAACCTCTCTGTACCAGCGAAGGATTTCAAGTTCGACAACGCAATACGTTGCCGACGTTTGAACTGTAATTCAAGCTGAAATCGGAAGAATTCTGATTGCTGTTCTGAACCGGAAGTGTAGTCGTAGCCTTGCGATTAATGGCATTTTATCGTTTGCATAATTAATAAGGATGCCTGTTTACGCACGAATATGTATTTAAAGTGTCACATCTATGTATGACTACATTGTTGCATAGTTGAACTACGAAGTTTTACAGCAAGACGTGCGTGCGAGTTTGACTATTGTTTATTTTGATTAAAAAAATCCGAAATGTCGACTGCTGTTTCCCAAAATCCTGGAAATGAGTTGGCACTAGCGCCGATGCCACCTCCTGGTAGTCCTCACCAAAACACATCTAGATCTGACTCGAGACATTCCACACCAAGAATGACCAAAGTAAAGGTAGTTTTAACAGATGAAGACAGAGGTATGCATGAATCTTGGTGATCATTAGATTTTTTTTGAGTGTTTGTATTAAATTTGAAACTGAAAATTAAAAACAAAAAAAAAACATTTCTCATATATACATTATAAATATAACTTTTTATAATTTATCTTGGCATTTTTAGTAAATTTCGATAAAAATGAAAAAGTCTGGATCTACAAAAGTTTAAACCTTCACATTTGAATTGTGTGATGATTGGCACAATGCTCCAGTCAATGTCAACCTCCACCCTCCCCACTTCGTCTAATGCCCCACATTTGTCTTGTATCGCCCGAGGTGGGAGGGGTCGGGGTTGACATTGACTGGAGCATAATAAGACCCATGAAATTCTTTACTCTCGTACTTTGACTAGCTTTAGGCTTACATGTGACCTTTGCAATGTGTGAATGATCAAAACAATGCAATTACATTTTACAAAGATGTAGTGGTGAATACTAGTACAAGATAATTAATGCTAACAGCTTTTTAGTTGAATGTCTTTGGTCTAGGCGAAGGTATCTCTAGTTGCTAATAGTTCAGAACCAAATTAATTCTGTAAATTGTTATTATCATGTATAAATGTTGCATAAACTAACACCTAAACTCACTGTACACATTTTTTTTTCTACTGATTTCCAAGCATTTTCATTTTTTTTTTATTTCACAGAAGAAAGTCCCCTACCTGAACTAAAGTCTAGCGAGATGACTGTGGACAGGACCAAACCATTGCCCACATCACTACAAAGTGAATTCATACCAGAGGATATATTAAATACATTAACTCAGCTACCTCAGAGTAATCAAGATCAGTTAGGTCCACCACTGAGAACAAAAGTCATAACTTACAGGGTATGTCATGTGTTAGCTGTCCATAGCTAAATACTCATTCTTGTCATTTGTGGCCGAAAAATCATGAAAAAAGTGATGACAAGTTACAAATTTTGCAGGAAAAAGGCAAATGATGAGAATGAACAAAACTAGAACTGTTAACCTATAGCTGGTCATGTTTATATAGGTTTTGAACATTGCATTACCGACTTTGAACTCTAAAAAAGAAATTCAAGTTAAAAATTAAATCATTTGATTTTTGCAGC